TTTATTAATAATATTTGGTATTTCTAATCTGTATATTTTACTGCCCATAAAAAAAATTAATAAATAATATAAAATATAATATATAATAATAAAAAAAAGAATTTTATATTTTAGCGCCTATGCGTTGTGACGCACCCCATAAGATCTGGTGTAACGTGAAATCAAAACAATAATCAATTCGTTAGTTTAGCGTTAGGGGTGAGGGTTAGGTTAGGGTTAGGGTAGTGCGTTTTAACAAAAGAATTCTAACCCAAAATTTTGATAGGAAACTTTTTTGTTAGAATACGAAAGGTAGTTTCATAGTCAAAATTTTGAGCTACAAGCGATTTTTAGGAACATCGCTATTTTTTTCAATTTTACGTTACACCAGATCTTACGATCTGATTAGTTGATCAGACGCTAAATTATATAACCCAAATTTTTATTATTACTGTATTAATTTTGGTACTGTATAATTATTTTGAATTGTAGTTTCTAAATTAGTAAATTTAATATAAAAAGCCTATTATATTACGGTAAATAAACTAAATATATATATTAAAATTTGAAAATTTTATTGCATCCCTATTACATTTGTCCCCCTTCAGTCACCTACTATACATTCACAAACTCCAAACAATCACACACAAGATTAGATACCATTGTTATTAAAAACCTCCTATATACAGTCGATCCTCTCTAAAAGCACAGTCGAGCGGTCTACACGAATAAACAGAAAAATTCTTATATTAAAAATTAGTGAGATAAAAATCTATGTTTAACCATTTGTTTGATTTTCGGACTGATCCGGAATTAATCAAATTTCACGATTTTGATTGGTTAAAGGCAACAGGTGACTATCGGGTAATCTCGTGATGTGCTTGGCCTTAGACAGCCTCGTGTAATTTTCTTTTACAATATCTCTATTTTCCATTATGCAAATCGACTTTCATTTATAATTAAAAAATCTTCATCATATCAAAATTTACATAAATCTAATAAAAACTCATTTTTCGAAAAATTGTAAAAATGGGCCCTTTTAATTGGGACACCCATATAAGTTTGGGCCATGCATTTAGAGTAGTTTTTTATAAGTATTTAGGGAGGTTTTAGTGAGGTTAATATTGAATGTTTATATAAAAATTAGACTTTCAATAAATAATTTAACAAAAATTCTAGATGGCTTTATTACTTAGGTTTGAATTTTTTATTGTAATCGTAAAATAATATAAAAAACTCATGTTACATTATTTTTTTCAATAAATGTCGCAGAGTAATATTAAAATTTGAAATTTCGATATTTTTTATGCAGCGTTCAAATAAAAATTGCTTTTAAAAAAAAAAAAAAAAAAAAATTTGAGACATTTTAAAGGTCACCATATTGGTTTAATAGTTTTTTTTCACTTATTTTGTAAGTCTAACAACTATAAAGGATTTAAAATTAAAAATTAAAATTTTCACAATATAAAGCAAAATAAAATTAAAACTATGCAGAGTTGTATTTTATTTACCTTTCTTGAAATTTGTCTATATCCAAAAATCTCGATGGAATCAATAGCTTTACGAATTTCTGACAACTCATTGGCAGATAATTGAATGTTGGCAGCCACAACATTTTCTTCTAGATATTTAATTTTCTTTGTTCCAGGAATTGTAATAATTTATCACTCTTTTAATAGATTTAATTCAGAAAAATTATATGTAAATAAGAATTTTTAATTTATAAGAAAAATTTTTTTTTTTTAAAAAAAAGAAAGCAATTAACAAAAAAATTATATATTTTTTTATTTTTGTAAACATTACCTGAGCTAAGTTTCAAGCCAAACAAAGCTGACTAAGAGGAATTTCTTTCTTTTTTGCAAATTCATTTAATTTATCAACAAGCATCAGATTTTTGTCAAAGTTTTCACCCACAAAGCGTGAATGGCTTGTGCGAATATCGAACATCTCCCTTTTCAAAATCATTGGTAGAATTATATTTTCCCTAAATGATATTCTTAATATAAGAAACATTTAATTATAGATTTTCTTACTAAACTTTGTAATATAAAAAAATTGGAATTTTTTTATATTTACTGTCAGGAACCCACGGCTAGGGATAGGAACCGATTTAGTCGACTAAAAAATTTATATGTAAATTACTATATTTAGTCGATTTATAGACGATTCCTATCCCTACCCACGGCCTAATGGGCTATATGAAACAATTGTAATTCCAAGTTCTTCGCAAGTTTCCTTGAGTCCGTTTGTTTCGATATCAAGGGATCACGGACTATATTCAACCTTTACAGTAAAATAGAAGATATAAACAAAAGAAATTACATACATATATAGAATTTGTATATTTATTAAATAATCATATTTTTAAATAGATATATAACCTGAAGAGCAGAAATCGGATGAACTTTGTGTGCACGTCTAAGGATATCAGCAGTGCATTCTGAAAGTCCCAGATATTTGATTTTACCTTCTCTAACAAGTTCAGCCATAGTCGTGACAGTATCTTCAATTGGGCTTATGTAGAATATACATTTCTTTTAAAAACTAAACAAAATATCAAAAATCTATACGTATCTCATACATACGTATTAGGATCAACCCGGATGTTGGTAATAAAAGTCGATATAATCAACACCTAATCTTTTCAAACTTTTCTCACAAGCTTCACGAACATAGTTTGGGTTCCATTTATTCCAGAAACTTGACCATCTGGGGAACGTACTATACCAAATTTTGTACATAAGAACACATCATGACGACGATCTTTGAGAACTTTTGAAAGGAGCATTTCATTGTGGCCGGTACCTTTGAATATAATTAGGCAGATGATAAAATATATAATTTACATGTATATTAACTGTATTTTTTCATAAATGAAGAATTAACAGGCATTTAACCATAAACACAGGTCGTATACGTACTGCAGTATCCCAAAGATTACATTTTAATTCAACTGAATGATCTAGCACATTTATATTATCAACTTCATTGCTGGACCCATAATATTCGCTCATTCCCTATAACTGTTTTTTTTTTTAAAAATATATATATATATATATATAATATGGAATTGCGTTCAAAAATTATCATTTCTTACCGTGCATCCAAGTCCAATGACAGGTACCATAACGCCTGTCTTTCCAAGTTCACATAAAAGCATAGACATTTTTACTACTTGATATTTTTAATTATGTAATGTTATTTATAACGTCAGAAAGTAAAAGAGATCGAAATTACTAGTAGTTAGGCACATTCAAATGTCTGTGCTTCTATTTATATAAAATATTTTTTCTTGTATAAATATTTTTAATTATACAGTATATATATCAAAATATATATATCGATATATATGTCGTACGTCGGAATGGAATTATTGTAGATTTAGAATCCATCTAGATTGATTCTGAATAAACATAGATTGTAATAGAATTCTAAAAT